GGAGCCGGCTCTGTCGCTCTCTTTGGCTCTGGTCTCCGAGACTGCCGAAGCGCGCAGCTGCCATTGGACGGGCCGCCCTACATCCGCCTCCTCCGCGGGCGGGATTTTTAAAGGGGAGGCCAAGGAGCGCGCGGCGGGAGCCGCCCCCGGGGCTTGCCCAGGCTGACTCGGCCCGCGCCCCCACCCCCGCCTCCAGCAGACCGCCGAGCTCCGGCGGCGCGTCCGCAGAGGTGCACCTGGGGAGGCGCGGCGGGGGGAGCCGGCGGGCGCGTGGGCTCCTCCGGGAGCGCGTCTTCGGGACTGCGCGCAGACAAGAACGAGTGCCGGTGCGCGCAGGCTATGCCTGCGTGTGCCTGCGGGCGTGTGGGCGCGTCCGGGAGGGCGCAGGTGTGCGCGCGCCGATGGGCAGAAGGTGCCTGCGCCTCTGCTTGCACCCCTCCCCGAGCTTTGTGTGGGGGTACACACTCACGGGTCCTGCCAGCCGGGCCCAGCCCGACGGCCTTGGCGGAGCAGCTCTGTGTCCTCGCATCTCCGCAGGACCCTACTTCTGCGCACAATGAGGCGGCTGGTGAGGAGGCGCCGCCAATAAGTTACGCTCTCTGAACCCCAGAGGGCGAGGCTTCCTGTTGTCCCTTCACTTCTTTTGCTCTCCTCTGAGAGGATGGTTGCGATCCTCAGGGTCAGCAGTTCAAAACCACCAGCAGCTCCACAGGAGAAAGGCTGGGCTTTCTGTTCCGGTTAACAGTTACCGTCTTGGAAACCCACAGGAGTCGCTATGAGTCGGCAATGACTCCGTGGCAGAAGTGACTGGTTTTGAGAGGACCGTGGCGATGGGAGAGAGGCAGGATACAAGGACTTACTTTTCAAAGCCATTTTGCCTCACACAGGAATGTTTTTAAGCCTGGAAACACACGGGTTTGTGGGGGGGGGGGGGCAGTCCATCTTCTATTGTCTAAATGGAGTCCTGGTGGTGCTTTGGGATAGGCATGGGACTGCTACCTGCAGGTGGGTGGTTCAAACCCACCCACCATTCTTGGTGGCGTGGGGGAGCAGATACTATCTGCTGGGGGAAAGATGTACAGTCTCACAAACCTAGTTGGAATCTACTCCTTAGCAGTGGGCTGAGTTTGGGTGTCCGATGTATCCACCCAGCCTGGCCACAGAGTGAGGCCCTGTCTGCAGTGCAGACCCCTTCAGAACACCAAACAGGAGAGAGGAGAGCAGGGTCCTCAGGGTGAGTGGCTCCCTGCCCTGAAGACCGGTCCCTGGCACCTAGGAAGACCCTCTCCACCTCTCTTCCTTCCTTCCAGGCCTAGAACACTGAGCCCCCTACCTCTCCTGGTCTGAGGGTCTGCTGGTAGCAGGCTGGTGCATCAGGAGTCCTGTTCCCATGGGGAGAGTGGGCCAGAGTGGGCTCAGAGGCTGCTGGGACCAGAAAAGAGCTTGGGGTGAGTGAGGGAGTCAATTGCTACACTCCCCACCCCCCCAGCATTGTTCTACTTTGAAATTGCTGGAAATTGAAGGGGCATCTGTTCTGGCCTTGCCCCCAGGGCTCAGCAAAGGCTGGATTCTTGATTCCTGATGGTAGGGGCGTCCCCAGCCCCACATCCCCTGACCACCTGCACCAGGGTGAAATCTTCGGGCACACAAAGGCTGAGAGGCTGTGCCTGGTTGGTTGCATTGCAGCAGGGAACACCTGATGGACACCCATAAATATGCACCCCAAACCTGACTCTACAGTTCTGGGGTGGGAACCTTTTGTGACCAAAAACCTGGGTTTCCAAGGGACTGGGACACCCTGTGTGGAGGAGTCAGGTGTCTTCATGGTCTATGGCAGGGGTCCTCAAACTTTTTAAAGAAAGGGCCAGTTCACTGTCCCTGAGACCCATTGGAGGGCTGGACTATAGTTTAAAAAATAACTATGAACAAATTCCTATGCACACTGCACATATCTTATTTTGAAGTAACAAAACAAATGGGGCAAAAACACCCGGTAGGCTGGATAAATGTCCTTAGCAGGCCGCATGTGGCCCGCGGGGCTGTAGTTTGAGGACGCCTGGTCTTTCTTTACAACAGTGGTTTGGGGGGCCACAGTCGTTTATGGGGATCCCATTCCCTACAAAGACCTCTGCACCCAACCCAAGACCAACTTTACAGCACCCAATAAGGGCTCCCCTTGATTTTCAGATAAGAGCTCAAATGCTTGCCTGGGACCACCCAGGAAGGGATGAGGAGGGGTCCTCACACCTTCCTTCATAGTCCACACAGGGCTGGAGTCATGTAACCCCTCAGGTCACATTTTGGCCCAGCTACCTCCCGCAGTCCCGTCACAACCAAAGAGCTGGCAGGGAAAGCCCAGTGTTGGTGGCAGCTCACCCCCAGCAGGTCCTTCCTAGGGTGGGGCCCTGGCTTTCCTAGCCAGGTTCCATGGGCCTGTTTGAGCAATGTGCCACCCTCCTGCTCCTGAGGTCCAGAGCTACAGTCCCTAGCTAGAGGGGACATGCTTCAAGAACTGGGGACAGGGTGAGGTGGGGCTGCCAGTGGTCCCCAAGTCCGCAGGGCTCTGGGAGCTTTCATTTGCTATGGGATTTAAGGGGTGAAATGAAGGAAGGTGTTATAGATCAATTTCCACTCTAGTGTCCCCACTTGGGTCTAGCTAGAGGGAGGGACTGCATTTCGATGTCCACATCTGCCCTCCCTCACTCTGGACCAGGTCCCTGGGCTCGGTCTTCGAATCTTTGGAATGGAGTGGGGAAGGCATAAAAGATAGGCCAGCATACCCTGTGCCTTTGAGAGATGCTGATTACTTTTGGGGGGGGGGTAGGCACAGGGGTTAGGTGAATAACGACAGAAATTACTGGAGAGTCGCAGAACCAACAGCTGCCTTCCCCTCTCCACTCCTGGCCCCAAACGTCCTCAAGGCACGCACCCTTGGCCTCCCGAGAACAAACACCCAGGTACAGGGCCTGCACACAGAACCACGATAAACAGCCTCCTGGGCCACAGACACGCCCCGCCTGGCCTGAAGGCTGAGAGCAGGCCCCGACTTCCAGCCGGGCCTCTGTAGCTCCAGCTTCGCTCCAGGGCAGAGCTGGGCCTCAGTTTCTCCACCTGTGAAGCGGAGGGGGCGATGGATGCGTTGCTTCTCAGGGCATGTCGCTACCTCTGTGCCCAGGGGATCGCGGCTCCAGCGGGCGGCCCCAGGCGGCCTTCCCGCAGGCTACTGACTTGCTTGCTTTGTCTTCGGCCAAGTCGAGGCCGGGCTCCCCGCAGCACACAGTAGGTCCCGACAGGTGTGAGGGGCGCAGGGCCAGCAGGCCTGGGCGCCCCGGGGAGCCGCCTCCCTCCGCGGCGGCTACACCGCCCGCCCACCCCCATGGCGAGCGAGGCCGAGACAGATTCTGTCTAAAGGGGATCGCGGCTCAACAGGTAAGGGCTGCGTTCAGGAATGTGGAAATACGACTCGGAGC